CATAGGGGTTTTAACCATGATTTGTTTTTCTTTATACATTCACATCACGACAAACAAGTGAGTAATGTTTATTTACATAGCACCGAGGTCAACCAAAGCACTTCACAATGTCCAGAGTTTGTTTCATACTGAATCGAGACGCCAAAGACACTGGGCCATCAAAACCTCTGACCAAACACCATCCATACACTCACTCACTCAGTACATTCATACCTATTCTGCCTGTTTTTTGTGGTAAGGGAAACCGGAGCACCCAGAGGAGACCTAAGCAGACATGAGGAGAACATGCAAACTCCACCCAGAAAGGCCCTGTTCCGACCGGGATTCGAACCCATGACCTCCTAGCTGAGAAGTGCTATCCACTCAGCCACCGTACCGCCATTTGAACTGTATAATTTAGTAAAAAGTAAGTAATCTTTATCTACATAGCACATTTTTACAGAATAAGGTTTAGCACCATGTCTATTTTAATTCACATTTGATCATTGAAGTAATACACAAAAGTAACCACTATGAATCATTTACCTACAAAACACAATTTAATCACAACTGTTTCAAGTCTGATTTTCCTGAGACTCACTTGGCACTGCCTGTCAACCCCATAATGTCATGTCATTTGGCCTAAATATGAAAATCAATAAATCAAAACCGTGTATAACTAACTGGCTGTCTTTTGTGACTTTCTGACTCCCACTCGCTGCATGTAAATGTCGACCTTTGAGAAGCGGCCTACATAACCGTTTGTCAAGCTCAACTCCAAAGATGTGACGTGAAGCCCCCAACGTATCAAGCCAAGTCGAGGACATCAATCACCACCGAGAAAAACAAAAACATAAAAATTCATTCTTTGAAGTGGATCCGGCGTGACACATTTTCCTTCAAATGCAACTTCAGACAGCTCAAATGTGTTTAGTGCTTACAGCTTTTTTTAGGAGGCGCTAAAAAAACAAACAGGAGGGAGGCTGCTGTCGCTTTTAAAGTTGGAAACTTATTCTAAATGTGTGTCTTGTGTGGAATGAACTCTTTAACTCAAATTCAAATTATTTTACTTATTATCTGTGAGGAAGTTCATTTACAGACGGAAAAATACAGACGGACAAGAAATAAAATCCCCAGGACCCATGTCACCTGCTCCCACTGATGTCCGCTGTCGTTGTGTCCCAGGGCAAGACACTTAACCCCACTTTGCCCCAAGCCCTGAAGACCCAGAAATGGACTAATAAAGGGGAACATTATATGACTTTACTGTATATTACTTATTCTTTACTTATTCCTTTTGAATGCGCTGGAAAACGGCTGCAGGTCCTAAGTAGCTCTGAAACAGTGGTTGTTTTGTGCTTTACAATTATTATTTTTCTTGATTTTTTTTGCCTGAAATGTTGCTGCAGTACAGTGTTCATGGTTTTACACTGGTCCAGACCAGAGCAGAGAGGATTCATGGTCCGAACCAAGTGGATCAGGTGAAAATCCACTGGAGGAATGCTGACTTTTTGAAAAATCCTAATGAAGCATTTGGCATTTTACTTTGGACTAGAGCAAAGAAAATGGGCCAAACCAAGCGACTACTCCACCTTATGACCAGTCCTGTTCTACCCAGAGGCTACTCCACCTCTGCTGCTGTGACCCGTCCTGCTCCACCCAGAGGCTACTCCACCTCTGCTGCTGTGACCCGTCCTGCTCCACCCAGAGGCTACTCCACCTCTGCTTCTGTGACCCGTCCTGCTCCACCCAGAGGCTACTCCACCTCTGCTGCTGTGACCCGTCCTGCTCTAGCCAGAGGCTACTCCACCTCTGCTGCTGTGACCCTTCCTGCTCCACCCAGAGGCTACTCCACCTCTGCTGCTGTGACCGTCCTGTTCCACCCAGAGGCTATTCCACCTCTGCTGCTGTGACCCGTCCTGCTCCACCCAGAGGCTACTCCACCTCTGCTGCTGTGACCCGTCCTGCTCCACCCAGAGGCTACTCCATCTCTGCTGCTGTGACCCGTCCTGCTCCACCCAGACGCTTCTCCACCTCTGCTGCTGTGACCTGTCCTGCTCCACCCAGAGGCTACTCCACCTCTGCTGCTGTGACCTGTCCTGCTCCACCCAGAGGCTACTCCACCTCTGCTGCTGTGACCCGTCCTGCTCCACCCAGAGGCTTCTCCACCTATGCTGCTGTGACCTGTCCTGCTCCACCCAGAGGCTACTCCACCTCTGCTGCTGTGACCCGTCCTGCTCCACCCAGAGGCTACTCCACCTCTGCTGCTGTGACCCGTCCTGCTCCACCCAGAGGCTTCTCCACCTCTGCTGCTGTGACCTGTCCTGCTCCACCCAGAGGCTACTCCACCTCTGCTGCTGTGACCCGTCCTGCTCCACCCAGAGGCTTCTCCACCTCTGCTGCTGTGACCTGTCCTGCTCCACCCAGAGGCTACTCCACCTCTGCTGCTGTGACCCGTCCTGCTCCACCCAGAGGCTTCTCCACCTCTGCTGCTGTGACCTGTCCTGCTCCACCCAGAGGCTACTCCACCTCTGCTGCTGTGACCCGTCCTGCTCCACCCAGAGGCTACTCCACCTCTGCTGCTGTGACCCGTCCTGCTCCACCCAGAGGCTACTCCACCTCTGCTGCTGTGACCCGTCCTGCTCCACCCAGAGGCTACTCCACCCTCTGCTGCTGTGACCCGTCCTGCTCCACCCAGAGGCTTCTCCACCTCTGCTGCTGTGACCTGAAGGACTGTTGCTGATTATTACTATTTTTAGCTTTTAAGAATGATGAAATTTATTTTTTATTTTTGCTGATACTGGACACCTGAATTTCTCTGACGGGGATCAATAAAGTATCTATCTATCTGTCTATCTATTAGTCTATCTATTAGATTCAGATTCAGATTCATTTAATTAGCCATGTGCAGTATAAAAACTACATTGGAATACATTCGCAAAAAAGGTACTCTGTCCTTTTTTGCGACAATTTATCTATTTATTACAATTTATAGTTACTTTCACTACAATAAACGATTCACAAGTTTTCCAGGCTATATTGTTTGAGGAGTGTCAATTCAAAATACAAAACATGCGGTAATGTAAACTCTAACATAACATGGTTAGTGTAAGCTGCTCTGACATTGCATCTTATCAAACTCTTCACAGTCTGTCCATCCATCAAAAGTTTGGCTATACAATCTTTTACATTACCAATATAAGTTACACTGCCAAGTCTCCAGTTGATATTGACAAGGCTGTAGTTGGAAAACAATTGGATGAGTATGGATTGACATCTTGATATCAGGTTAGACTAGGTGGGCTGGGTGTCAGTCAGATGCCTTCAGACCGTGAGGTAATTGCAGCTCATGTAACGCGATCTGTCCATTAGTATTCAACATGAGCCAATCTGGGACAAAAGCAAAGGTCAAGCAAATCAATATAGGAACCCACAGCCGCCCATCGCAAACAGCCGCCTGGGTTTGGGTGTTCAATGGTGGGGAAAAAATAAATAAACAAGGAGAGGCAATAGAATGGATTTGAGTTTGGACAAAATGAATGGATTAACGGCAAGTTTATTTATTTATTTATATAACCAGACTCAAGTAAAAGTGGCTAAAGTAGATGTTATTGTTTTTATTTGTATCCTTAAGAGTCTCTTCAGAAATTTGATGCAAAAAGTCAAAGCCCTACACAAAGCCCTTTATGAGAGAAAGGATTGTTAGAATCAATAACAGAAAATAATACAATAATTAGGGGAAACCACATAGGTAAAGGTTTGTGGGAAGTCAGTTTGCTGGTTAGAAAGTGTCCAGGGCTCTGCTGGATCTTTGGCTTGAGGGTTAAAAATAAATATGTGAATTAGGAATAAAAAGAAATGTGGGCAAAAATTAAAGCTACCATTGTCAAGCTGTGACAAATTAGCACAAAACATATACTATAGTGATAATACATTTTTTTCTATGTATATTTTTCTACGTTTGCAAAGATGCTGAAAGTGAGAAATCAATCTCGTTGCAGCTTATTGATTGCTCACAGGGCATTTACTTTGGAACATAAACAAAAAGAAAAGTCATTATTTTGTTTATTTTATTGCAGTGAAAATATTGGTGGATTCATCCTTTTCCCCTTTGTTCAAGCAAATGGCACAAAATGTCAAACTTGAACTAAAATGTACCCTTTTGCATGTGGAGTTTTAACATATGAGCTTCGAAATGGAACTGAAAATGGGCTTTTGTGAACTACATTTGAAAAGAATTGTACAAAAGCTAAGCCAGCGCTGCCCCTCTCACTAATGGACCCTGCCTCAATGTGGTTATATTTACAAGGCCTTCATTATAAAAGGACATGCTGACTGGAAAAAACCATAATGGCTTCAAACCAACTCAGCAGCGACAAGCAATAACCGACGCGTTCTTCCATGTCCGTCATCTCCCGGGTTATATAGTGCAACTCCACATGTTACTTAAATCTCCCGTTTTTAAAATGTTTTGGCTCGTGTCAGAACAAAATTAATGTTGTTATTTTATGTCCTCTCTACTTGGACCTTTTGTGCTCTAAAAACATCATTAACAATGAACAAAAACTGAAATGTGGTGCACCCCACACAGAAATATGTGTTATGGAGTCTTATAATGAGTGTTACTATGGCAACAGTGAGAAACATCCAGGATTTCGAGGTCACAGCTCAAAAGAACTTTTATGACACACAAGCGCTCAATTATAAGTGTTTAGCAAAAACATGGGGAGGTAGCTTTTTGATTATAATTATATTTACAAATGTGTTTTATTTTTAAAAACGTAAATATGCTGCATCAGTCCAGTTTTGTGTCTACATACATACTGTACATCTCACCTATTCACTTCAACCCACCTCCTCCACAAGACCATCTCATCCACAAGACCAACTAAACAGTGGGAATTTACTCTTCAGCCTTCTTGTATGTTAATCAAATCCAAAAAAATGATGTTTTCTTGGACAATTCATACAGGACTCCAAACTATTTCTGTTTAGGATGACAATTTATACATTTACAAGCTTCATCCTACCTCTCTGAAGTTCTCGGGTCCACACTCTTGCCCTCTATAGTTGCACTCTAGTAGCATGTCCTCAATGCGGTGTCTGGTACGGTTGTAGAACTCGTCCAGGCTGAATCTGGACCCTGGTGGTCGGTCTGGCTCTGGGGCGAGGGGGAATCCTGGAGCCATGCCTTCTTCAAATCCCAAAAGGGGCCCCATGAAAATCAGATCGCTGTAACTCATCTGCGATTTCCTTACGAAGTTATAGTTGCACATCGTTACAGCCGGGAAGGGCAGGGTCTTGGCTACTCTTTCATCCAACATCGTAATGTGGTCATACTGAAGGTAGTAAATGACTCGATCTGCCACTTGGAACAAAAATGCAGAAAGCGCAGACAGGAAGACCACCGCCCATAGACCTTGACGAATCCCAAACTTCGTATCCTCTACAAAAATGTGGTTTGCGCCGTGAAGCGAGCAGCCGCCAAAGAACGCAGCCAAATCATCAACCTCTTCTAGCGCTTCTTCCTCTTCCTCATAGTCCTCCGCCTGGCTACTTCGATCTAGGTAGTCTTGCGATCCGGCGTCACTGTAACTCTTAGGAACTCGCTTGTAGTGGTCGTCGAAGTCTCCTTTTCCGTAACCTCGAACCGGCTCGTCATCAGAGGTGAAGGAGATGGTGCACATAATTCGGACAGGCATGATGGAAGGTTGGACGGCTCAAGAAGTCAAAAGATGGAAGTAAAACTGTGTACAATGTCAAAGGAAACAACAACGGCTAGTCTATTGTCTAATGAATCATCAAATGGACAATCAAAAAACTATTTCAAATCTGATCAGAGTCAGCACTAGAAGATAATCCTTCAGAAATCAATCAAACAAATTCCAAAACTTGATTGTACGATTGCCAAAATAAATCGTTAACGGTGAAGCCTCTCTGCAATTCTCCAAGTGCCAAGACTTGCCTTGATCTGGGAGTTTGATTGTCCTTCCTTGAGAGTAAGAAGCAGAGGGAGATAAGGGGTCTTGGATGTGGGAGGAGAGAAAAGGGGAAGGTGAATCCAGAAGGAGCGCATAGGACACGGAATACTCCCACTGGGCCTGGCTACAGGTCACTGTCCGGGGGCAGAGTTTCAGCATTTCCAGGAAAAAAAGGAGCCAGAGCTTTGACGCAGTGGAAGGGGAAGGGACAATATGTCAGCCAATGAAAAACCAAAGACGGTGTAGAATTTTTCTGCTGATTGCACTGCTCAAGATAACTTCATCCTCTAGGTAACGGGTCAAAAAAGTATGGAACAGAAACGGATTTCAATGGTTCCAAGTCGTGGGTGAAAAGTGACAATGCAATCATTCTGAGCATTGTTTGTGTGAGTTTGAATAAATGTATGGTTGAAGGGCGAGTATAGTTCAAGAGCACGTTTTGAAGATTACTCATATGGGTTTCATTAATATAAACTTGCTTTCTATTGTTTAAAATGAAACGTTGAAATCTGGAAAATCACATTGCCAATTTCACAGCAAAGACTGATCAAGTTCTCGTCTAGGATTACCCAAGAGAATCAATAACAAGATACTGATTCACTGACTTTGAACTGGAAACACTATCTATTTAGAGACTTTTGAAGCTAAATCCTTTGTTTCACATTCCAGCCATTGCAATTTGGTTTATTCTAAAGGATGTACAACAAGAAATGCGTTGGTTTTGGAGAAAAACGTCACCGACCCACTTCTAACTTCCCCAACCATGACATCACTCTCACCAAAAGTCAAGTCATACAATCAAGCCAATGGTTTAATCTATGGATAACGCTGCTATAATAGTGCTGTAAGAAGAAAAATAGATCAAGAGATTCTTTATTCGTCCAAGTGTTGCGTAATAAATTGAAATGCAAGAAAGCAAATGATGTAGCTGCAAAGAGATAAGCACACTTGCATGACGTTATTGGATTCCAGGTACGCATTTCCCATCGGTGGTGTTAGTTGTGATATTATTGAAAATGGCTGATCCTTCTTCATCGATTGACCTCCATTTGAAGTATTATGTGCAGATTCCTGATGGAGTTTGGAGATGAAATACTACACCTGGCTGACACAAGTCTTTACAATCAAACCCTATTAAGAATATGATAGGACTGCAGTGTGTGGAGGATGAATAGCAGTGTCAAAGGCAGAAACATAAATGGCTGTAGTAAAAAAGAATAAAGTATTTTGTATTTCACTGATACAGAAATAAAAAAGAAAACCGGTGAGTTATTTGATGGTTGTGGTCGGAGGAGCCATGGGAGAGCAATGGCTTGTCAAACATTAGAGAATATAAACTACCCCAAAAATATATATCACTCTAAAAGCACCTGTATGAGCGTAAACAAGGATAACAACTTGCACTTGTCCTTAAAGGTATATAGGAGGATTTCCTTCTGTCCCAAACTCAGGCACTTGGGACAAATTAATAGCGTCCCTTGAAATGATTTTAAACTAGCATTATAACAGTGACTGATGGTACTGGGATACTATGTATATTATACCAGTATGAAGCTTATTGTCTCAGGAAAACAATCATAAAAGGCATATGTTCGAAAATGTTAACAAACATTTAATGAGAAATTAAGTTAAGGCCAAAAATTTCTGTTTTAATATTTAACTATAATTTTGATTTTTGGCCCAGTTATAATTGAATCCAAACCTACTAGAAAACAATCCTTTTCAAATAAAATGAGTTTTTGAAACCACAAAAATATGTAAAAATGAATCAATATAATGAAAATAAGTAATCTTTTTTATATACCGCCTTTTCACTGCAGATCTGAGTCTCAAAGCGGTTTACAATTGTTATTTTTTGGGCATTTGTCTCTGTCACGTCACGTGGGTGAAAAACAAATGAGGCCCAAAAGGCAAAAACTGCAAAATGATGGATTTAATGAAAGTAATACAAATCAAAACCTACCAAAAACACAGGGAACGGACAGAACTAAAACAGACTAGGAAAGACAATGACGAAATAGGGAGTGAAGGAACACACAGGGCTAAATACAAGACTAACGAGACACAGGTGAGACAGATAAGGGCAGGGCAGGTAATCAGACAACAGGAAGTACAACCAAAGAAGACACAGGGATAACACATTTCAAAATAAAACAGGAAATAAACTTAAACCATGACAGTCTCTTACTCCACACAGAGATGGGAGCGGGGTCCCCAGTACAGGAGGCGCATGCCAGAACTATTGTACATATTTTTAGTGGTAGGGGAAACCGGAGTACCCGGAGGAAACCTACGCAGACACGGGGAGAACATGCAAAATCCACTCAGAAAGGCCCTGGTCCGACCGGGATTCGAACCCAGGACCTTCTTGCTGAGAGGCGAGAGTGCTATCCACTTTTATACTTTGACTCAAACCCCTTGTTATTTTTTTAAACTTGACCCCCGACCGAAATGAGTTTGAAACCCCTGGTCTAGACTATTGGTCTAATTGTCAATCATTCTGGTGATATGCAAGACACATTTTAAGAGGCAGGCCTTTTCCTAAAATTTGGGAAAATCCTTCAATACACATTTAACAAAAATATATGGAGGCATTGCAGCCAAAATCTTGCAAATAAAAAGAATCATTGAAATCTTCTATTTGAGAGGGTTTTGCTTTTGGTGTAACTCACTCTGCATCTGCTTTTTGGATTGGCTTTAGTTTTTTTCTGCCCGGCAAACTCTTACATGATCAGAATTTTACAATTTTACATGTTAGGAACTCATCTGTACATATGAACATTGAACCATTGACCTGGAGCGAGATTCACATCGCTGACCTCTCCAGATCAAAGGGTTAGGGTTATGCTCTATAAACTTTGGCAAACACACTCTCAGCCGTTATCCTTCAGTCAGCTTTTAGTAATCCACAGTGCGCCTGCTGAGTGGCATGATCTGTGGGCTTCTGAATCCACTGAGAAGGAATGACCTGGTCGATATGTGTTTAGCAGCCGCTGTGAGGATTGCCCAATGCAGGGGGAAAAAGGAAAGAAACTGCTGCCGTGGCTTGGCCTTGATCCTAGTTCTTCACAACCACTCTAACAGCTCCATGCTTTTTGAATATGTATTAGAGATTCCATGCAGGCCGACCTAACAAGAAGGTCATCAAGATCCCAATGCGCTTGGTCCAAGAGGCCTTCGCTGTGAGAGGGGCATGAATATTCAGTGACGCTCAAGGATTTGGCACAAGATTGCCGCTGGAGGAGAAATTAAAGTGTGCAAATCGGCGAAGTGACCCTCTGACAAATACACACAGTTAGGTTAATGCACTCGAAAAGTCTAAAAGGACAGCTTTGAGAGGAACTATTACTACTGCTGCTGATGCAATGTGCAGCGTTTAGCCTGTGTTTACATAATTATAATATTACAGACAACAAAGAAATACAAATTGTATTTCAATAATATTGTATAGTATTCAATTCAGTTTTGGGAATTCTAGTCTACAACTCGTGCTGAAATATGCATGAAAGAGTCCACTAGGGGGCTGCAGAGACACGTAAAAACTTCCCAGTAGTGAATGGAACTTGGCAGAGATTTAATTCAATTGTTTAAACATTATTGTTATGATTTGATAAGGCTTCCTGTGATTTATGCTGAGCTCATAGTTGATCTGAACTTTCTGAATTAGCTACATGCGGAAACATAGACTTACTTCATTCGTTTGGCCCTGGCATCAGCATGTCGGTCCCTGAACACTAACATGTCCCTTAGTTTTAGAATAGGGTGAGATATAGCTGATCTGCATGAGCATAACGTCTATATAATGTGGTCAAATTTAATTTTGGACAAAAGTAAATAGCCCACCGGTATCTGCCCTTTTTTAACCCACAATTTTCAGATATTTATCACATTGTTTAGTAAGTAATTTCACTTTTTTTTTTTTTTACTGCAAATTACTTTTATGCCACTAACCATCACCATTCATTCACTCACTCAGTACATTCATTCTTATTATACATGTTTTTAGTGGTGAGGGAAACTGGAACACCCAAAGGAAACCTACGCAGACACAGGGAGAACGTGCAAATCAACAGGCCTGGAGGTGTAATCAAATCCAAGACATTCAGTGAAGCCCAGTGTCTGCATTGTTTTGCTAAAGAGAAAAAAAAAAAGCCCAATGCAAATATATTGAACACAATTTAATTGGGAAAGACTCATGACAAAGGGCGCATTAGAATGATGTGTATTGAGTTTATTTACATGAATATGTTAAAACTGCATGATTAGAAAATTAGACAGGCAGACATTTGTGGAACTAAATCATTTATTGCATTTTATGCAAGAGGGAATTGAATCCCCCGGGGTCTAGACCTTGGTGGCGGTAGAAGCTGAAGTGATGAGGCGGTGATGGGGAGGAGGCGGGTCTATGTACAAACAGAATTTGAAAGTGGAGACTGTGAGGCACCGTTTAAATGCTGCTGGTGAAGTGGATTTCTGATGAGCTGTGGTTTCAAGTATGGCATCGGGATAATGTCCGCGGGGGATTGAATTTTTACTTTCCAAAAAGTCGTCTATATTGCCACCATAACCTTTGTACTTATTGTGCATGAGACTACTTTTTTTCTGAAGCAGAAGCGGTATGATACAAACAGCTGTGGGCACATTTTTGTTGTGGGTCAAAAGGTGGCAGTATTGTGACGCGTTCAGGGTCTGTTGGATTTTCCCAGGGGCTGTGTGGATTC